AATATAATTTAGGTCTGTCACATGTGGACTGCAATGTGCGTTAAGAACGTGACTCGATGTTATATGTCAGAGGATTAACACCTTGATCTCTTTTTTTGCTTGCGTGTTAACCTTCAGCCAGACAAGGTAATATGTTTAATGTGTGATGACGAGACAGAATCGGATCGTTTCTAATAGTATGCTTTAATTCAATACATTTCACGGGCAATATTTAGCGGAAGACTAATGCAATATCAATATTTAGCATAAAACTATGCCTATTAACATTAGTCTGAAAAATCAAACAAAGTACAAAATTGATCAGAATTAAAAATAATTCTAGTAGAACCTCGATCATTGAAAAATATTAATTGAAAAATATCAATATCAATTTAAAGATATGAATTGAATTCTGAAATATTCTTAGGATGAATAAATATTTAACCTAACTAATAGTATTTGTCTTTTTCTATACTTAAATAAATCATGTACCTGAATACTATCTAATTATGCAAAAAAGACAAAGTAAACTGCTTTGAAACAGAATTTAGCTTTAGCAGTAATTGTTTATAGATAACACTTGTAAACATTTTAACTTTGCATTTCTTTTTAGTAAATATTTCTTGCGTTGTATATTCATACTTCTATCAATTTGAATATAGTAAAAGTGTAGAAGAATTTTTTCCTCGATAAATTTCTTGGAATTGAAATTTAATAAACAAGGAACTTTAAGTTAATTATTATTCTTTCCTCATTCGTTCAGAATTAAAATCACATCAAGACATAAAAATATAGTCTTTTAACAAGAACTATGATAAATTATTATCGAAATTCAGAAGAAGTTATTTAAATGATTTGCTTCATGAAACTATAATTTTGTGTAACCTTCAGATGTTTAGTCATAAAATTGATTTAAGAAATATATGCATACTATAAAATATGATAGAACTCTTCATTGAATAACATCGAAGCCATTATTATGCTACAACAATTATTAGAAATTAACTGGTAACAAGACAGTAAAATATTTAACCTGTTAAAATAAACACTGGTTATTCAATTACAATATATCATACATGTATTTTCAATTAAAATCTCTTTATCTTGATGTAATAACATTTATTGTTCCTAAATTTAATATTTACCTGTTTGTAAATCTAATTTATTTAAGTTGTGTTGAAAATTTGATCTTTAAAATAATATTATTGTTTTCGTTCATTGCTATTCTATCATTTGTTAAAAATAATTTTTATTAGCAATATAAAACTAAATATAGGTACAAATGAATGTGCTAGTATCACTTTGCGAAACTGCAACTAAATTACCGTTTATATTAAGGATTTTTCAACATGATCTATTACTCTTTATACAATATTGATGTTATACAATATTCCGTTTATGAAAAAGTATATCATGTGCCACACATTCATATCAACTGTCTATTCATATCAAAAGTTATATCTAAATAAAATGAAAAACAGTACAAATAGTCATAAAAAAATAATATGAAAATAATAAAATAAATATGATAATAACAATGAAATTACATTGGAAAAATCAATCAATACGTCTTGGAACCATTTTTTTACACAACAAATAGTTTACGACTAATTAACGTTTATAGATAAAAATAGTACATTTCTTGATAAAAGGAAAATTATTTACTTGAATGAATATATTTCATAGCTTTTCTTATGCGTATCATAATTTACAAAAAATTATTAATGTACATCTTGTGAAACCGATATTATGCATGATTAGTAACTAATGAAACGAGTACAAATGTCTTTGTAATTCGCTGTACACGAAAATATGAATTTTCTTCGATTACCGGATGCATGGTGTGGATCTCGTAAAAGTGATCTCGTCGTTAGCACGTCAATTAACTTCTACCAAGAAACGTACTTCAACTCTTGGAAGGTGCACGATTATGGAAAAGGTCACTGGTACATGATATTTGTTGAGAGCATCGAATGATTGGCCTCGCTTGCGTTGTACGCGCAACACGTGATACGAAGTGTGGATTAAATTACACACAGTATTATCTTTTATTAAATCACTTTGATGAAATTTCAATTTCCGAATCGCAACAAATTCTTGCGAAATGGTATAGACAAGTATGGGAAAATGGCCTCAGTGCAATTATATTACCTACATTTCCTACATAATAAAACTTACTTTGATCAATTTTAACAAAGAGTGAAGATGTGAATGAGAGTGAGATTTACTTTTTAAAAGAGAGTGAAATTTGAGTGAACTCTTTCTAACTGAGAGTTTATAGCAGTGTTTTGAAATTTCAAAATTATGTTTTTGTTGGAGAAAACCTGATTTGACATACTGAAAAAAAACATGAAAATTGAAGAAATAATATCAGGAAAAGTTAAACTCTCAAAAGAAGAATGTAACAAGAAATATTTGCGATTACAAAATGAATAAAACTGTGAAAATAACTACCCAGTAAGATATTTTTCTGTCAGATCAGTTATTTTATAAATGCATTTTAATAAAAGCTACTAGTCCTGATTAAACTTGATGATTAACTCCTAACAACCAGTCCGGCCTGCTTAACATAAATCGCTAATTTACAAATCCAATAATGTGGTTGCTCGCTGTGGAATTCTTATATATATATTTTTTTTTATTTTGTCATTATCGACGATAGAATCCCGTCAGTCGTGCTTCTTATATTCTCGTCTACTAATGGACGTTGTTTTTCGGCCGTCCAATTAAAATTCTGCAATCCCCTAATTCGTTCGTTAAAACTCGATGCTTCTACGGTTTTTGCCAGGTACCTGGAAAAAGAGCGTGTCATTATACACAGCGACCAAATATAAATAATATAACTCCGAATGAAACTATTTTGTGCCGATATTAAATAATTTCACGCTGATTCGACAAACAGAGTATGCGTTCTTTGAAAAATATTAAAAAACATAATCGCAATTTTTCATTAACATTGACAATTAGAAAAAATTATGGATATTTGAGTTAATAGAATTTGAGTTAAATAGAAAATAGAATAGATACACATTTAATGTATACAATATGATGTATATTAATGTATATGTGAAAGAAATATTGAACATTTTATTTATAATAAAACAGAAATACAGAAATATTCTATTTCTGTGCAATTTTATATAATAAACAAATATTTAACGTAATTTTCCGGCGAAATGTTATGTTTTGGAACACTGTATTTATTCTATAGATGTTTATTTATTAACGTTTTATATCAGAAATTTCAAATGAAGAAATTTAGGAATTTGATAACTTAGAACTATAAAGATACATAAGTGTAAAATTGTTTAATCTTCAATATAAATATTTCAAATTTAGGGATCCAACAATTAACAAAGTTTAAAAACATAAAAATTAAATATTCTCAAATTTCTAAATTAACAAATTATATTTAAACTTCAAATTTAGAAAATAATAAATTTAAAAATTGTGAAATTAATTAGCGAAGTTAATTGAGTTTTAGTGAATTATTAATTCCCAATACTTGAGACTCTACACCACTTGCACGTTTAGGCACCATGCTCTCACAGCCATCGCTGATTTATACCATAATTGAAGTTTATTATTTCTATATAGAATCATCCTTTTTTGAAATATCCCGCATATTCTGTGGTTTTGTCGGTTCACGATTAAAATGATTTCTGCACATGTTTATATTTCGTTTTCTCTTTTTGTCGTTAATAAGCAGTCCTTTGAAGGGCACGAATTAGTTCGAGTTCTTTTCGCGTTTTTTCTTTTATCAACGACTCTTTTTGTCCGTGCCCTGATCTACGTTGAGTAGAAAGAACATCGGTTGGCTCGAAGTTAATTGGGCCTAACGATTATCGTTTGAACAGACCAAGCTGAAATTCGGGCAACATTAGTAGCTTCTTAATAGATTGATAGTGTCAGATTGAATGAATGATAATTGCTCCTTTCCATCCTTAGCGCGACTATAATCGCGCGGCAATTAGATGGAAGCGGGCTCGTCGGAAATTACTGCCGCACGAGCGTTAAAAATGACAGTTAATGCCTGAACGATTTACCGCGAAGGTTAATACGAGGGAGAATGAGCAGACAAGATTGCTGAGTAACGCGTTAGTTTCTTCGTATAGCCGAAGCCTTAGCTCGTTATTCCTGATTTTCGTAATCCGCCAAGAACTTCCCTCTTAACGTAACAATATTCGACGATCGCTAAAATTCATCCTTTACGAATCACAAAAACCTTACGGCTTGATATTAACCAATTTATTGCTAAATAAATTTTAATTAATCTCACAGTCTGGATACTTTCTATGTACTACCTTTCGCTCCGTACTTTTAGGAGACTTCTTTGAAGACCTTAAGGGGATTTTTAACGCGATTTTTATGAATGTACTTAACAAGAACTGTACGCTTAACATTAAAATGCCAAAGCTTTAAGTTATTATAAACTCGTAATCTAGTAATAAAATTCCAGCAGCGCTAAATTAAACGTTGATCCTAATTTTTAAATTATAATATTTAGAAATTTAAAAATAGTCAGATAAAAATTTTCAGAACTGATATGTAAAATTTCGAGAAATTTCAAATTTACAAGCATGCGAAGTTACGAATATCAATTATTAAATCTAGGAATACAAAAATCACCTTTTAAAGATTATGTGTTTATGAGTCTGAATTTTTTATTATCAGGTAGATATATTTCTTCATCAAATAGCTGCAAATGGTTGAAAAATCGTGCGACGCATCAAAGATAACACCCTTGATATGTTACGAATGACACTACAAATTTAATTTAAAAGAATGTATATCAAATTATCGTATTGAAACGAATGATGAGTATAAGTCTGTTTTGGAGTGCAAAAGGTTAAATTCAATTTCCCAATGTAAAAACAAAGCCTTACTTTTATTTCCACACATAGATAGTTTACGTTGCCTCCAAAGGCATCACAATATCATTCTAGTTGTTTTCGTCAGAGCGAAATCGAGCGTTATAGTCCAAACTCCGATTGAAATGATAAATCACGTGATTGTTGCAGAACGCGAACCACCCCGCGTGACTGCGGCTCTGGTAGGAGATGGAGAAGGCAGGTTGATCGCCACCCCTGTCCACAAAGAAAGTATAGCATCTAGGAGCAAGGAAGACCTAGCACAGGAGGCGGCCCTGGTGCTTCAACAAGCGGGCAGCCTTCACTGCATCGCCCACGACAACAGACGATTGCCAGGTCGATTTAGCACGTTGCCGGCTCGCCGTAACAAGAAAAGGCCCGAACTGCCACTCGATGTAAGACGCAGGAGCGAGGAAATCGGTGCCACGACGAGCGCGGACTTCGTCGAGACACCAAACTTAAAAAAGAAGAAGTCACTGGAGCGGAGTGCGAGCGATGCGAACACGAAAAAACTGAAAGGTTCGTTGGCGAGGTTCTTCTCACCAAAACTAGAGAGAAAGAGAAAGCCGGTCGGTCGTAGCGTGAGCGACGCGGGTAGCTCGGCGCGATCGCATCGCAAGAGGAGCGGCAGCGAGAGCGAAGGATCGCATCTTGGCAGTAGTCGTGCTAAAAAACCACTGTCCCCTATCATCGAGGCGTCGCCACACGTCGATCAACAGCCGTTCTACTTTGGCGAGAAGAACAGCAGACCGGAGACGAAGAAGTCGAAGCAGGAGGAAACCGATGTCGAAAAGGTGATAGAACGGACAGAGACGAGAGGGAAGTACGAAGAGACGGAAGTGAACGTTGGCAAGGGATCGATATCGGCCAGGAAGGAGAACAAGGGAATCGTGAGACGCATACCTATCGAGCTAGAGGACGATAACAAGATCAGAGGCGGGGAAGAGGAACAAAGGAAAGAGGAGAAGGTAGGCCGGCATACCCCTTCACCGGCAAAGGACACCGGGCTCGACGAAGTAGACAAGGTCGGTACGAGTAGCATGCTGCACAGCAGCCGATACGATCTCCAGCAACGCGGCGAAGAGTCAACGATACACAAGATGATTCACCGATTATCCACCGATCGCTCGCCCCCACCGCAACTGACCAGAACGATGGTCTCGCCCGGGCCCGGATTCGGCCATAACAACAATCGACCGTTCTCGTACACCAGACCCAACGAGTCCTCTTGCAGTCCACCGCCCCCGCAGACTAATGTGATTTACGCTCAGGTGCAGACCGATAAGAAGAAGGCGCAGAGAAGTCATTCGGACAGCGACGAGGGACTAGGTCTCGAGAGAAAGGATTCGTCGCGCGAGAACAGCCCCGCGGAGAAGGAGTATCGCAGGACCGATTACTCCTACAGCAGTGATCTGAGGCGCAACAACGAAATCAACACGTTCAAATCCAGGTACGAGGAAGAAAGAAAAAATGCGTCTGCTCGATTTACCGGTCATTACGCTGGAACGCAGGACTACGCGGCCAGGAATGCGGACGCGAAACGGCGTCACGAGTTCGACGAAATCGATCGACGTCTTTACGACAAACCGGAAAAGTACACGTCGACGGTGTTCGTCGATGCTTCTGGTAGAGGCAGAGCAGACGGCACAGACGCCAGACAACGAGATAACAACGAATTCTCGACCAGACAAACACAGTCCGGGATATCGAACAAGACGTCCGAACTGAGCGCCAGGCGCGACCTCCTCGAGTCCAGGATCAAGTCGAGGCTACTTGCCGACGAGATGTTCGCGGCGAAGAACAGCGCGAACGTGCCGATTAAGAAGTCCTCTGAACACGAGATCATCGATAAGCCAATCGTTCCGTCTCCGGTTACGCCGAATCGCGTCGCTTCGCCGAAACGTTACACGGACACTTACATTACGGAGACACGCACGAACAGCAACGGAGAGAAATACATCTTCGAAAAGGAAATACACGAGGACAACGGCAAGGTGTATGGCTACGAGAAAAAGATCACGAACAAAATCCCGTCGGATGGTTACATTGACACGAAGCCGAGAGACGGTTACAAGGTGGAGACCAGAACGGACAAGTACGGGGACAAGTACATCGTAGAGACGCGAACGCACCAAGGATACGCGGACGATTTTAAACCGTTTCTTAGCGACAGGAGCAGGACCAGCCCCGAAGAACGATACTCAGCTACTAGAAGTTCAACGAGTCCCTATAAATCGACCACCCTTCATACAGATGGGAACGCAGTCGTTCATCGTTTCCGCGACGAATCTAGGAACAACGACATCCTCTCGTCACCGATAATAGCAAAAAAGTTAAGCACCGAGAGGAAATTTTCGAAGAGCGACGATTTTCTGGATCGCGAGATCCGACCTAGAGACCCTTATCTGCCGAAAAAGAAAAATTTCGAATCGATACGCGGAATGAGCAAGTCAACGCAGCGTCTGGATGAGGTCGGTGAAAATGCGCGCGTGAGAGCGCTGAGGAGCGAGTACACGACTAGGTCTCACGAGAATCTGACCAGTCACGCGGACTACGTGAACGCGAGGGACGTACATCGATCTCATCTCACCAGTCCTGCGATGAACGGCCGAAAAGAGAGATCGCCACCGTTCGCGAAACGGCACTTAGACAGTTTGCGGGAAGGTCCAAACGACGATTATGACACCGACATATCGCAATTGACCAGTAGCCAATTGGAGTCCAAATATTACAAGGAGACGCGCACAACGCAACGATACACCAGCAGCAAGCACCCGATACACGATGATTACGACAGCTCTCCACCCAGGATACGCACCGATCGTGGCGGTTACAATTCAAGTCGTTACGACTCTGACACCACAGCCAGAGACTCGATTCGTTGCGAAACTCGGTACGACGAGAGTTTGCGTACACTCCGAAAAGAACATCGAAAGCAGGACGAAGACCCGAAGAAACCTCTGCGACGATCACGCAATCGATTGGACTATTTCGATGACTCCGACGCGAGAGACAGCACTAGAGCGAAGACAACCGTTAACAGATTGGAGCCCTTTGACGAAAGCCCACCCAGACCACCCAGGGCCTACCATGAAGGTGGCAAATCGAGACACACCAGGCAAGAAACGAGGACGCACATCGAGCGTCGGCATCGCGAAACTCGATTAAGCGATTCCGATCGTAAGGATCGTCTGGCAGATTCTGGGATCGAGAACGATTATAGGCGCGACTCGCAAGAGGTCGATCGAAGAGAACAAATGGAGTCCGAGGACGAGGGCTTCGTCACTAGGCAATTCATCAAAAACGAACGAAAACACACTGATAGAAACATGAATCTTACTCCGTCCGAGCAGCGGAAGTACGAAAAATATTCGAACGACATGTCCAAATCACCACTGGTGACCGCGAAACCGCCTTCCGGGGCTGATAAAAAGTACGAGAAGAAGGCGGCGAAGAAAAGTGGTACCATGAGCAAGGTGAAACAGCTGTTCAGCAAGAAAGAGAAGAAAGCGAAGGAAGAGAAGAACAAGAAGAACGCGAGGAACAGCAGTAGCGGCGCCCTCACGGATGATGAGGTGACGATGAGGTACAGGGAGTACCGCGGCGATCAGCTGAGAAGCGCGAAAAGCGCACGAGATTTGGGCAGCGACATCAATCAGGTAGGAATTTTCATTATTTAATACACTGGTCATCGAACTTTTAAATTCGCTTTATTAGAATAAATTGTAATGAAGCAGAAATACTAAGTTCGCTTCATTTCTAACGCATCCACTCTTAAAAGTTTAGTTAGCATAACTGAATACAATTCAGTTTATATGATTTATCCTCTGAATTTGATAAAATTTACTTGTTTTCTTTGGATACATATAAATAAAATGCCACGTTAGAATATACTTGGATTTAATGTGAAATATAGAAAGATCGTAAAATTGTAAAAAGGGGAGTAAGCATGTAATTCGAGCGATGACACGATTTTTGAGAAAATAAGTAGCTAAAGCCTTCATGAGTGCAATACGATGCAAACATTAGTTTTCGATTGTAAGTTGAAATTTAAAGTGCTTCTATTCATTCGAAATAAACGATGAATAGCTTTAAGGGAGAATAAGGGCATTTCTTCGTACTCTTTAAGCATAAATTATTGCTTCAAACCAAACCTGAACACGATGTGTTGTCCTACTTTCATTTATCTCTTTTTTCGTCTTTACTTCATACTTTAATTTACGGCCGCTCTGTATATCTATACTTACACTGCATATATTTCTTAAAGTATAAAATGCAGAAGAGATATTTGACTTAAAAGTTGAATGGTATAAGTTTAATAGTCATATACTTCCCTTAACAAAATTGTGAAAATGCAAATTATTTTCCCCGAATAACATAACATATAAAGTTTTATTCAAATCAATTAATAATTATGTGATATCCTGTATAGTAAATTGAGCGAATTGCACAGTTAACAGAAATGTTTGCCTACATATTATTGCAAAAAGTCTTCTTATGTCGTTTCACTATTTAGTCGCATATCATTAAAGTCATATAACCCATAATTTGAAACTCGTAAGACACTTCTTATTTTCTGCTCATTTTGCAGGACTTATTTAATATTTGCAATAACTAGCAACAAAGATTCAATAATAATCTTCAACTTACTGTAATGTACTTCATAGCAGCGCTGGAGATATCTTTAATGCTGCGTTTTAAAGAATCGAAATTACCGTGTGTTAGTTAAGATAGATAACTCAGAACGGTCGTATAAAATATAGCTTTATAAAATTCTTTTACAACCACGATCCTCGGGTTTATCCAATCGTCGTGGATTACCATGAATGGGACTTCTTACGATTGTTTAAATGATGTTTCCTCAATAACACATGAAATGTCTCTCCGATGCGTGGGGTTCTCAATGCACTTTTAATTTTAAGGACATCAAATATTTAATGACGACTTACTTATGCAAATAAATGTTTATCCTGAATGATAAATTTGTATACAAATTCTTTCACATGAGGATTAGAAACATTACTGTCACTGAATTTACACTTGACTCCAAGTGCAATTCTTCCAAGTTATTTATTAACTAAGTTAACACTTATGGTCATTCTTGATTCTGACTACATCTTAATAACTGAATTTGTTTTACGATTATAAACTGTATGAATTGACACTATTGCCCATAAATTTATTTAATTATAATATTTAAATTATACTACTTAAACGTTTAAAAAAGATGACCTTTTCCGACATTTTTTTACCCTTTATTCTTAAATGAAATTTTTTTCTTTTTCTCTTTGTTATTATTATTTGGATAATAATTATGTTTAAAAATTAAAACCGATCACCGAATATACTTATTTATTACTTGCATTAGTATCACTTATTCACATTATATTGTTGCTTTGGAATATCTAATTTTACAAATACAATGTGTTTTAATAAATTGTATATATTCTTTGAATCAATTGTAATAATAAAAATGATAACAAAAATATTAGATGATAATTTCAATAAAAGATTAGTAATTGTAACACTTTAATCTAAAAATCATACTGCATAATCATTTGTTTTGAAGCATTTTATTCTAGTAATGAAATTCACAAATTAAATTTTAATGTAAAATTCAATTATTAATATTGAAAAAGTATTCTATCAATCATACCCTGCAAATTTATACATAATTCAATTAACATTTTTCGTTCTTTATTATCATAAAGCATATACTTATAACGATAATGTAAATTTATTTACAAACACATGTCGAAGACGTAAAACATACTTTAAAATATCAATTATTCTATAATCTTTGTGATCAGTCAGAAATTTTGAACATGAGGTGGGCAACAAAATCATTGAAGTCGTCATATTAATAGTCTCACCCAATATATTCACTAATAAAGGGTTAAAGTCGACAAGTAAACACCCATCTGATCACTATCGGTCCACATTTATTACAAAGAGCTATAGTGAAATGTTTCATAAAATCTTGCCAACCTTCCAGCTACGAAAGGTAGCCTTTCGCGGTTATTAAGTGTTACGCAATTACGTTACAGCTGCACCTGGCGAACCGATACAATGCATAATAAAAGGACGTAATGAGAATCGGTCTAGCGTGGATTACATCGGACACGAAAAACGCATTACGCGGTCGGGTAAAAAGGTTCCGATAAAAATCTGAAGGCAACGGCATGGTGGTCGAACACACGAACAAGATCATTAATCGTGGACCATTGAAAATTCAGGCTACGCCGCTAATTCGCTGAAAGAACCACCTGTTCCGATCGCGAAACCTGGCCACGCGTTTCGCAAGAACACCTTTCCACCCACCGTGAGACCATGCAAATGGATTTTATCGGTGTCTCTCACCGCGTTTACCATTGTTACCTCTTTTTCATCGACGATCTGCGTGCAGCCGTTAATCTTTCCTTTCGGAGCAAGAACGTCGATACGTACGTTTACGTATCCTGGTTTGCGAAATCAACTGGAAGAAAACGATTCCCTGGTGTGCCGGTCGATCGTTTCTCCGCCACAGCGAAACTTGTAAAACGGCGTGAAACAATTATCGTTGCTAGTCGCCACCTCTGGTAGATTAGATAGTCGAGTCGACGATTTTATGGACGACCGATTGCTTCACCATCTTGCCAGTTCTCGCTCGCCAGAAGACATTAGCGGCGATCGTAATGGCGCTTCGATTGAATTAGACGACGACTAAGGGAATCAACGTTTCTTTTTTTTTCTTCCGTCTCATGCAAAACGAACCGCCATGTGACGAAACGAAGTATTTTATTTCGTTTCGCTTTGATATATTATGAAACAGAGATACGAGGAAATGACGTTCTCAGATTTGATGACTCTCGTCTCGTTTCTTCTATTGATGATGCGGAATAAATGGTGGATGAGATTTTTCTCTAACCTTTTTAGGAAGTTCGAATCTTAATGACAAACCGTGTACGTGTACGGTTTATGTACAATTATAGCGCGAAATTATATAGTCACAGATGTTTGCGTATATTTGTCGGATTACACCTATCTGTAGGTGTAAGTACTGGCACATCTATCTATATCCACCTTTTCTGAAGAAACATGTTGTTAAGAAACCCATAGACATTAGATTATCAATATGTTATTCATCATTTAACGGACGAAGGAACAGATTATGTGTTATTTAAAATAATTACTACTAGAACCAACAACCAGTCAAAATGACTGGTTTAAATAATAATTTGTGATATACGTAATTCAAAGTATTAACTTAGTGACATAAACTAACATATTCGCAGTATTAATGAAGTATTTGTAGTGAATATAATAATGATTGCAAGAACCTTCTTAAAACTGTTTTTCGCACAAATGTCGAGTCCTATTATTTTATCAAAAAACAAAAACTTCACCGTTTCTGTAAATGTTATAATTTTACATATACAAAAGAAATTGCAATTACCTTAATTGCTTCCTTAATCGTTTGATCACAAGGACATTTACCTTATGCTAATAAAATTTTATGAAAAAATCTTGGGGCATCCTGTATATCTCGATATCTTCCCTAATGCAAACGACAGATAATCGTACACGAGAACGCATCGTAACAACTGTATTTCCAACTATACGATCTAATTTAACGTTCATGGTGTTTTGTTGCGGTCAGGCAATAATAAGGTTGTATCGTATGTTTAGTTTCACTGTGGTTAGCGAACCATTCGAGGAAGCATACGAAAACGTGGCTAAGGTTGCGGCAAACGCGTGGCTAGGTTTCCACACAATGTTCCCGTGACAAACGCGCCGGAAAACGTTTTCTACCGCGTGGGCGGAGGAGTGCGATCCTCGCGTATAGTATCTACCGGTGCGGATACTTTCCACCAGCTTGGGTACAGTTAGGCATGACGCAACCGTGCACTCGAGAACGGTATGAGATCCCAATTATCGAATGCTTCCGGTTTCTAAGGGTCTTACATTTACCTGAAACAACGGCTCGCTAAGTTCCGGCAGTAACGAACATTCGAACAAGACACGACTGTATGCTGGGAAAACTTTGTGTGCCATAGTACCTTCGAATCGCGGCTAACATGATCAATGGAAACACGTATTTTATAATTGAAAGACACTTCGCGGTTTTAGTAAATTATTATTTCATTAAAATACGTGTTTTGTAAGCAGAAGATCAGATGTTGATTTATGGTAGATACCAGTATAACGCGAATTGCTATTTGAACATGGAAAATTGTTGACAGGGCAGTGTCGAAGATATTATGGCTGCTATTTTCATACAATGGGGTACTTCGTGCAATGCATTGTGTAATAAAATGCAGAAAACAATTAGCACATTCAATAATTTATAGAAAATAATAGTTGACATGACCATAAACATTCCAGTCATATAATATATATAATACTTTATATTATACAATATAATGCTATTTCATATACAAGGTATACTACTAGTAGTTATTTTATGTAAACGAATATTATACACAAACCATAGGTGGATTTACCTTAATTTTCGAAATATGAAGATAAATCACAAAAATACCAGAAGCATTCAAGTATGTGAACTCGTGATACCCAGCGGCGCAGACATTTCTACTGCAAAAGTCATACACAAACATTACATGGGCGTATTTCTTGAGTGAAAAATTTATAGACACTTTACCGAAGTGCACTCGATGTT